TTTCTATATATTTATAGTCGGAATCCGTCTATACCTAGCTTAGGTAGTAGTATTAGATCCGGTAACTAATATACTCTATAGCGAAGGTAAGGTTAAGCGTAGACCCGTCTTCGTCCTATTTATGTTTTTTCTATATAACTTATTCTATAGATATAAGTAGGTATAGGAAGTCGTGGTAGCGGGTACGTAGTTCCCTTACTCTAAGTTCTTCCCTTACTATAGCTAGGCCTCCCTACTATTAGTAGTAGAGGTTAAAGTCTCCTAGAAGAATATATTACCCTAGTTCCGTAGTACCCTCGAGCATCTCGTCTAGTATAAGTATACGTTATTAGTTATATATATTATATATATATAGAGGGCCTATATCTATTTATAGGTATAGTATTATCCTAAGGTTATCGCGCTCGGTATACGACTATAATAAGAGTAGTATTAACCTATAAATATAGAAGAGGACTCGTCTTTCTAGTTCTAGAGGGTATATAGTATAGTATCCGGGGTGTATAGTTAGTTTACTCGTCTAGTAGTATTTATAGAGTTCCTAGATAGCAAGTATTATAGCCCCAGTCTCTTCGAGAAGCGTCGCCTAGTTCTCTCTTTTATATTATATATTTATCTATATAATTCGGAGTATATTCTAGTCCCTTATTAGGTACTAGAGAGTATATATACCTATATACTTATTCCTTAGAGGCGCGACTATCCTTACACGGTAGCGGCTTTAACTATACCTTTTAGTTATCCTATTATCTTTAGAATAGTCTACTATTCTACCTAACTACCTTCCGGAGGGAAGGTTAGAGGTATTATAAAGGAAGGGCCTATAGTAGGTATTATATTCTATAACTATCTCACGCCTCTCGCTTTTATCGTACGAATATATTCTATAACCTATTTACGTTTTATATATGTTAACGACTATAATAGGTATTTCCCGTCGTAGTTTAAATACTATACTATATCTCTATTTCTTAGTCCGTCTTCTCGCGGTTTATAAGGGCACTCCTAGGTAGCGTGGTCTCTATAGTACTATCCGTACTTAGTCTTCTATAAGTACCTTTATATAGTATATCTATACCCTTAATAGTTAAAGCACTATATTATTATCTATACCCTATTCTATGGCTCGGCTATAAGGAGCTCTCCTTCTACTAGGAATCCCTCCTATATAATATATTATACGAGGGCGGGGTCTTAGAGCTCTATAATTATAGTAGAGTATTTTTTCGCCGTTATCTTAATCGCCTATAGGTTCTTCTACCACGCTTTTACGATCTTAATCCCTAGGTATTTTCGCGTGTTAGATTATTCTATACGTATAATATCCTCCGCTCCAATAGCCTATCCCTACATAGGTACTATATATACTATAATCGGGTATATAGCTACTCTAATAGACGCGCTAGGGAAGATACTATCTATCGCGTTCGGATCTTATAAGATGTTTTACTACGTAGTATTTATTATAGTAGTAAGTACTACCCTACCTAGCATAACTTTAGTAGCCACGACGCTTAACTATATTCCTTTCTATTTATTAATCTTATTTATAATTTCCTTTAGAGATACCTATTAGACCTACGCCAGCGTGTTCTTATCCTAGATTATAATATATATACTATATACTCTATCTATGGTCCTAGTAGTCCTTAGTACGGTAGCTCCGGGTATTACTATAATCTAAGTCTATATATTAGGGCGCTTATCTTAGAATAGCTCTTCCTAGATTCTCCGTAGACTAGCTTCTATTTAGTCGAGTCTACTACTAGGTTTCTCTTATAGCGACTTTCTTTCTTCCTCCGTGATTCCTCTTAGATTCTAGATAAGGTCCCGGAATATATAAAGGAGGGTCTTCTTTCCCTCCTTAGCGTCCCTCTCTATATATATTATCTAGTATTTAATTTTATCTAGGAGGGTCTCCCCTCTTAGGGTCCCCTTAGTCTAGATTATCTATAGCGCTTCGCACCCTTAGTTAGTTCCTATATTTTAGATAGGTATCTAGCTATCTATATTAATATCGCTATATAGCCGTTTCTACCGTACTAGTAGGGGTATATCTAGCGTCTACCGGGGTATTATAATGCCTAAGGCCGCTATGGTTATTAGTTAAGGGTAGCCCTTAACTAATAAAAGAGGGTCGGCGTGTTAGTATTTATTAGATATAGTCTATACTCGTATTATTAAAGAGTCTTTAAGTATATATATATAGTGTCTCTATACGTCGGTATCATCGCGTATTATATGCTATATATACGCACGTATATCGGAGGTTATTATACTCGGTATACTCTATCGTTTAATATATGTAAATCGCTATTTTACCCCGAATTAACTAGTTTAGTCCGTTAGGGTGTAAGAAGTTTTATATAGAACTATATATCTTTAGTATAGAAACCTCTAGATTAGAGTTATCTTTACTAACTTTATAGCTCTTTAGTATATATAAGAATAGAATCTTAGTCTTTTCTTTAGATTTTTTCTTAGGAATTTTAATATTACTAGTATATAGAAAGAAGTCTAAAGTAGTAGAGATCTTAGTACTATTATAGAGATTAATATATATTAGTAAGAATCTATAATAACTTAAGAAAAATAATATTATCTAGTAATTACGGTAATTATAGCTAAAGTAGCTTTAGCTAGATTAGTATAAATCTCTATAGAATTATACTCCTAGCTATAAAATATACTATATTTATATAATTTATAGAAAGATATTTCTAAAGAATTCTAATTATTAGTACTATACTTCTTATTAGTAGTATTTAGATATTATCTAATATTAATCTATATAAATATAAGTAAATCTATATAAAGCTTCTTAAACTTATTTAAATACCTATAAATAATAGTACTTCTTAGTTATATAAGTACTATAAGTTATAGAATTAGTACTACTATATATATATACTAATAGAAAGTAATAACTATAATAATATATAATTAGATTATTAGAGCCCGGCCTAGGTTAGAGTAGATTAATAGCTTTTATTATATTATTAATATAGATAAGATAAGAATTATTTAAAGGTATCTATTTACTAATTACTTCTAAGTATTAAGATTTTAGAAAACTATATTATAATTATTACTAATTTATATAGATTATTATAGATTATTATTATTACTAGCTATATATAGTATAAAAATTAGTAAATTATATAAATTATACTAAACTATAGTAAATTTATATAAATCTATATCTATAAGAATTAGATAATATATCTAATAATCTAAAAAACTCTATAATAAGTTATAAAGTTTTTTAAGAAAAGAAATATTTCTAAGAAAAGATTTTAATATCGATAGTATCTAGACTTATCTAATTATATTATATAATATACTAGCTCTAATTAGATAATTCTATCTATATAAGAATTTAGAATAGATAAAATCTAGTTTATTAGAAAAATACTTATATAATTCTTAGATTAGCTAGTATCTATATATATCTAAGATAAAGTATAGTAAATAACTAAGATCTTATAAGACTTAGAATAGAGAATATAGAGATAGATAATAATCTAGATTACTAAGGGTAGCTTTCTAAAGAAAGAGGATAATTATTAGAACTTAGTCTTAGATATAATCTAATTTATATATACCTTAGCTAATATAGTTAGAAGATAGTATAAAGGGTAGTAAATAGTTATATACTAGATAGATTAGTATCTCTTTATATATATACTCTTAGATTTCTACTAAAAGGGTTTAGTAGTAATTTTTTCTATAATAGAATATACTCTATTATTCTATCTAACTATACTACTATCTAATAACTCTATTCTTATAAATAAAGTATTATATCTACTATAGATAATTATATAGCTCTAAAGAATAATTACTAAATTTAGTCTAGCTAGAGTTAGTACTAAGATATAGATCTATTAGATATATACTCTCTCTAGTATTAGTTATCTTAATTAATAACTAATATCTAGTATAAAGCTATATTTCTATAGATAGAAAAAACCCGGGAGTATAGAAATAATAGACTAGGTCTAGTCTAGTAACCTATCTAATTATAGAAGAGATAATATCTACTATAGTTAGTTAGAGTATTATTAAGAGCTAGTACTAATATAGTAGTAAAAAGTCTAATATAAGAATAAGAAGTAAGTTTATTATCTAATAGAATTTAAGAACTTAGACTAGACTAGGTTAGATTAGTAATAGAGTCTAGTTAGAGAGCTAATTATAGAAGGTTTTCTTATATATATAGTAGCTTAGACTAGAGAAGGTCTATATCTATAGAATATATATATAGCTATATATATAGTTCTTTCTAGTTAAATACTAATATTATTATTATTATTATTATAGATCTATAGATATACTCTATAGCTATATACTTAAGAAGATATAAAGACTTAATAAGATATAGTTATAGAGAGAAGAGAGTTTTCTCTCTTAGATTTCTTCTTATATAGTAGCTTAGACTAGAGAAGATATATATCTATAGAGTACTACTCTATCTAGTTATATAATAATAATAATATTATTATTATACTTTAAGCTTTAAAGATAACTCTCTTAGTATAGAAAAAAATATAGATATAGATAGATATATAATATTTATAGAGTAGAAATATATATCTAAATAGAGTTATATAATAGAATCTAGCTATAATAGACTATTATATAATAAATAGAATAATAGAGTATAGATTAAAGATAATAAGAATATAGTATAATTCTTAAAATAAAGACTAGATAGAGAGAGAACTAAATATATAGAGACTATTTCTTATATATTTCTTCTTATATACTATAGAGCTTTCTTTTTATTATTAATAGAAATCTTCTAGATCTCTCTATATATATATATATATATATATATTCTATAGCTTATATAGTTTTCTAAGAATAAAATAGAATAGAGTAGAATTCTATAAATTCTATAAATTCTATAATAGAATCTAATAGAATTCTATAGAAGTTTATATTTTTAAAGATATCTAGAAGTTTCTAGAGAGTTCTAGAAACTTCTATAAGAGTATAGAGTATTTATATATATAAGTAGATATTATTAGTAGAGTTAATTACTAATATTAAGCTATTTCTAATAAGAAAATTACCTTATAGAAATTTATTAGATATAGTAGAGGTTAGGTTTATAAAATATTCCTAGGCTCGTTCTTGAATATCGTTCGAAAGAACTTCTTAGGTAGATCCGCTATAGCATCCGAAGCCTGAAAGAACACCGGATGCCTCGCCCAGAAACTCCTGTTCCTTTTGCCCAATACATATATTGGAATCGTCAGAGCGCAAACCGCAATTTGAACTCCACCAATAATGCGGAAGACTTTCCAAATCCCCTCCTGCCCACTTTGAACGAGCCAGTTGTATGAGTCGTAGGTCAAACCGAAGGAGAATATGTTCTTGAACACCAATAGACATGTAAATGCTTCGATGGCGATATCACGATGCGCATCGACAATGTATAACGATGATGATACCGCACCAAAAACCATACCGGCGACCTGCATGCCGAAGAAGAAACAGGATGGGAACCACCCGTACCGGAATGTGTTGTTGCTAGTCCAGCCAAAGCAGAGCAATCCAACGACCCCACAAACCGTCTGTGGAATGACAAGTACCATGCGAAATTCGGGCTCGTAAACACCCCGGTTCCATTTGGTCATGAGCTTCACGCTATAGTCTGCCAGGATACCGGAGAAGAAGAATCCGACCACGGCTCCTATGAAAGCCCCGGCGTAGAGATATCCAGTCTCAACTTCATCAAAATATAGCGGTGGGCCAAGCATGATTGCTGCTAGTACCACCCCGATCATGACAGTCCAGCCAATCATTACCCCTTGAATGAGGTAGGCCCAGGCAACGCCAGGATGGAAGAACAGCGGAAATGGTCGCAGAAGCAAGCGTAGATATCCTTCATTTGTCTTCCGTCCATTGAAGGGCGTGAGAGACCGCCAGTATGTACGTTCGACTGGTGCAGCGGATGCGCTCTCATGACGATGCCCCGCTATACTGTCATTACCATTGCCATCGTTAGGAATGTTAAGCGTCTTGTTTGTGGACACATAGGACGTAGGATCCTGATTCCGATGATCTTCGCTAGCTCCTATATCGGTATTCAAGTTATCGTCTCTGCGATATGACGTCTCAGGAAGGAAGAAGATGACCACTGGGAACAATGCACCGCAGAGGATCGCGACAAAGTAGAAAGGCCAATCCCATCCCAACGTTGCAGTCATCTTCCCCACGATTATCGGAGTACAGAATGCACCCCCGAAGAGTGCGAGGTTGGTGACAGCCATACGCAACCCGCGCTCGTGCACGAAATAAAGATCTCCAACGCTAGCATTAACCAATGCCTCGAACGGTGCGAGGCCAACTCCTTGGAACACTCTTGCCCAGGTCAGACTGGTGTAATAGGTGCCGTCATAACAGAATTGGTCATTCCCTTGCCCGCCACAGTTTTTTGTACTACCAGCCCACGCAGAGCTGAATATAAGGCAAATGGTACCGATGATGTAGCAGTGGCGCTTGCCCCAGACACGAGCGGAGGGAACGAAGAGGAAACCGGCGATACCAACCCCTAAAAGATGATATCCCGTGAGAAGAGCCACGTCAGTGAAAGTGCGCCCGAAGTAAAGAGATAGTGTTAAAGTGTTCGCTGCGAGAAGAGACGACAAAGTCGATGCGATGACCGCGAGGAGAGAGAGTGTAAGAAGGTATACGTCGCGCTTCCAAAGAGGCCAATTCTACGACTCGTAAGCTTAATTATATTTCATAATCGTAGATTAATGTTTTACCAGCGGGTCGTTGTGATCATCTGAAGGTTGTGGAACGAGTATGATAGTCCCGGTTTTGTCGTACTTCAACTTAGTATCTGGTTCGGTCGCCGATGTCTCTGAAGTCTGAGTAAGATTTACCGTTCCTATTACGATAAGCGTCAGTCGAGTTTCACGACAGCGGTAGAGAAGATTCTACCTGGTACGTGAGCGAGATGTTCATCTTCTAGGATACCAAGGCCCATCGTTACTCGGATAATATGTCCAGTAGCCGGTTCACAGGTCGGAGGGACACTCGCCAAACGTCGTGGTATCTGTTATATGACGGTCGATCTTATACGCGTGTCGAATCGCGAGAGATAATAGAGATATCTATATAAATACTAAAGTAATTAGGGCCATAGAAAGAAGAGTCTTAATTAGCTAGTCTCTCTCTCTAAATCTAATAAAACTAGACTTCTAATAGTACTTATAAAGTAATAATCTTTAATATTCATTATTATTATTATTATTATTATTATTATTATTATTATTATTATTATTATTATTATTATTATTATTATTATTATTATTATTATTATTATTATTAT